CTTTTAGATAACCAGCAAAAACGTTAGATTTTTCTGCATCGCTTCGCGCCCAGTTTTCGACAGAGTTTCTTATTGAAGAATCGGATTCTATGAGGGAATTTATACCTTTGCTAGCATTCCACAAGGATAAATGGTTTTTGCCATTTGAACACAGGTTTTGCATATAATTATATTGCCTGACTTTGGTTTCCTTGCTTAATGTAGATCTAAGTCTCCTTTGGGCTTCCTTAAATAAGTTTTTCGCTGAAGGGGACCTCGATTTTTGCCATTCGTGCCTTAACCTACGTTCTTGTGAAACTAAGTTTTCTATGTCAGTATTTGTAAGTACTTTATTGGATGTGTAAATTTTATTGTCTTTAGGAGTGGAGTTTTCTGCTGCTGAAATCAGAATTGTGTTTAAAACCGAGGTTGCGTCCTTAATATGAGATTTACACTTTATTTTGTAATTTGTGTGTATGTGTAAACTAATGTACTTTTTATATTTGAGCCAGTAGGGTGATTATTTTAGTAGTAGGCTGACTAGCTTCCTCTGTACATTCAGGTAGTTGAGTGAATCTATTGCCAGAAAGTATATTTGTGGGTGCACTATCTTTGTTAATTTTGTTTATTTTAGCAGCTCTTATGTTGCCTTTTTGAGGACTAAGTTTTTGTTTAATATTGACAGCGTTCCATGCCTGTTTGGATTTTAGTTTTATTTTTTGGACTCCCTAAGTCGGGAAATGCAAGCGATGCTGCTGAAGATACAATGTTTTGTAAGCTTTTATCAGTTTGTGTAGTTTTCTGTGGCAACTTGTTTGATGCGTCTATTACTAGATAAGCATTACGTTTGTTTGGGATGCTTATCGTATGTCTTCTCTGGGGGAGGATTTGGATTACTCATTTGCATACGTGGTTATGTATGCAAATAGCAATCTTTATTTATAATTTATAGACTGTAGAACAACGACTTGATATTGTTTTATATCTTTGCGTTATAAAAATAACGATGACCTTTCAGGGTTAAGGAAAAGGCAATCTGAAAGGCGTTTTATTTAGCGAAAAGACATTCAGCTCAATCTTTTTAGATAACATGAAGTTTAAAGAAGTCAATTATCAACAAAAGTATATATAGGTTTCTTTAACCCATTAAGTACCAGGCCATTTCTTGAAATTGAAATTTTACGGTGAAATTTCCATAGTAAAAAAACAACTTTAAGTAAATGAGAAAAGTTTAATATTTATTTGAAAGATTGCTCCCACTTTATCTTTACCTAAAAAATATTGAATATTAAAAAATATTCAAAGCTAGCTGCGTGGTACACCACACGGTGGTCCGAAATGGGTTAAAGTTCATATCATCTAAATCTAAATCTAATTAAAAATTGTTAAAATTATTTAAGGGGAGTGTTTAAATACGGATTAAAAGTGAATGGGACTATTCGCATCAGGGCCAACTGAATTCTAAATTTTTATAGAAAGGAACCGAGAAGAGTAAGTTTATACCTCTGTAAAAAAAATGGTACAGATCATTAATTTAAAACATATACATATGAAAACAATATTATAGTTTGTACAAAGTTTATTTAAGCTGAAACATATGGATATATATGTAATAATATATATAACACACAAACATATAAAAACACACAAACGCTTAATGCTATTACGCAAAACAAACCATAAAATGTCACGCAACTGAAAAAACTTTCAACCGTCAAGGTACAGCTAGTGTTAATACAGCCAATAAAGTTTTTAGATAAACTTTGCTAGTAGATGCTTCGGCGAATAGGCGTTAGCTGTGATACTCTTTCCCTTTCTGTCTTACGAGTAGAAACTGAAACAAAATCAAATTTCTATGCATATACACTCACACACAAGCATTGTCCCTCCTCGCCACTATAAATGCTATCTCATTGAAAAACAAAGCAGAAGTACAGAACTGTTCAAAAATAATGCGGTTTACAATATATGAAATTATACACTTCAATGAAAATATTTTTTGCAACACTTTTTAAAACACTTTTTAAAAGCATAATAATATATAAATTGTGTTTTACTATTTTGTGTTTCTATAACACAAATAAAAAATAATAAATTAAGATTGAATTGTTTCGTAACTTTTTTTTTGCAACAAATAATAATAGTTAATACTGACAAATCAGAAACAATATTTAGATTGGATTCTATACTTGCAGCCAAATAATTTCAAATTTTTTGTAGTTCACTTATAATTTTATTTTTACTCACTTTTTATAGTTAACTTAGAAAAAATTAGCATAAAGCACATTTACGACTGCTCTTCTCAAAGCAAGATAATAAAGCAGTTTGGATTGATTTGCTTCATTATGTTTCATTATCTTGTGCTTACTGTGAATATAAAAAGAGTTATTTCCACATTTACTTTCTTACTTAAATTAATAATAATTATTTATGTATACACATATATATATTCATATATATTTTTTTTTTATTTAAAAGATATATCACAATACACCTAAAATATCAACTACTAGAATTTGTTTTTAAGTAAATCAATTAATATTTGTATAATAATATAAATATACATATAATTATTAATATAATAACATTAATTAATATGATTATTATTAGGATAAAGTTTTTCTGGGAATGATTTCAACTTTTCAATATCCTAGCATCAAGGAACCATGTTATTCTTATGTGGGTACCGGGATATGAAAGGCAATGAAATAGTAGACTCCCTAGGAAGAAAGGGTGTATGTACTCCTTTCATTAGCCCAGAGCCCTTCTGCGGGGTAACAAATAGCTTCAAAAATAACTTATTATGTGAACGGGAGAAACAAAATCTACTTGAACACTGGAAAGCCTAAATGGGCATGCGACAGTCAAGAAGATTCATTAATCCTGAACACATCAAAGTTGAAGCTATCCTTTACCTTAGCAGAAAGGATATTAAAATCTACACTAAACTTCTAACAAGACACTGTAAACTTAATTACCACATGATGATTATAGATGCGGTAGAAAGTGATTCCTGTCGACTCTGCATGAGAAAAAGGAAACTTTAGAGCATATATTATGCAACTGCCCAGCGGCAGCAAAACGTAGACTCGACTACATTAGAAACTGAATCTTAGTCCCAAATCAAATAGGTAAAATTAAGCCCACAGCAATTACGAGATTTATAAATAGTCTAGAGTTGTTTTAGTTGGGCCTTTAGGCGCACAATAGATCATTTAGGTCGGATTGCATATTATTTAATAATAATTAATATTTGTATTTTAACAAAATTACCAATTTAGTCTATTTACAAAGAATATTTTATGTACATCGAATTTATATTATGGAATTTACAAATGCTTTCCAGTTATTACACTAACGAGCTATTGCTCGAAATTCGCTGAAAGATTTTCTAGTTTCACTTGTGACAGTTCTGCGCCAAACATTTTCTAGGGACACCACTAAGTGCCCCATGTTTGGGCAAAAATTTCATGGGCTTCTGGTAGGCCGATTGGATATATTGCACATATATCAGCACTTCGGATATAATTTTATTGTAATAGCAAATATTAATACATAAGAATTTTTTATTCAATGACAAAAATTTGTTTTATAAAATTGCTAACAAATCAGAAATTAAACGTAACGATTAAACAAATGTTTCAAAGTCGATTTGGTACCACATTCCCACTATAGCTAAATCAATTTATAATAATTAAATTACGGTTTGATCGTTTTGATTCGCATAAGTTGATTTATACATCTAAAGGAGCTTTTATATATCAAAAAGTTCAAAAAAAGGTTTTGCCTGTTTACATTTCAATTATTGGCAGATAATATTTAGTTGTGTATTGTTTTAAGGCTCTTAAAATTGATTTTAAGATCGCGTAAACATCCTAAACTGAATTTTGCTTAAAAGCACTTTTAGCTTACTAAAAGCAAAAACATAGAAATAAAAAAACATAATAATTGTAGTGGTAACAGTTGCATGGAATACCATCCATTGATGTGCGAAATACTTGATACAAGGCCATCATTAGTTCTTGAAATTAGCCGGTGCGGTACTCTAGATATTGAACACGTGAATGGTAATTTATCATACAATTAAATATCTTCTTACCAAACTTTCATTTTTTAATTGCAGATGAATGAAATGAAAAATAATTGAATGACAACACAGATGAGCAAAATTCAAACTTTGAATTTAATTCTATAAGCAAAGTTGATTTGCCTTTAAGCTCAAATTATTATAAGTATATTATATTATATTTCTAGTTATATATTAACGTACAAATTAATTAATAAAAATTGGTTTTTTATATGTAATTTTTTTAATTGCTTCTATGTTTCTAAGTAGAAGTGGAAATTTTCTCGCTAAATACGAGCATATATGATCTCGCAAGTGCCTATAATTTTTCATAATCCAGTTACAAAACGAATAAGCTGCATCACTAATAATATAATGAAGAAGTTTAAAAAGCATAGCTATAACCGTTTTTGTTACGAAAGTAAAGTCTGTGTAGCATTTTCAAATTTCGACAGAGATGTTACGCTCTCTCAGATGCTCCCATTTACTCGAAAATTTGTTGGTGGAATGCACTTGTGTATACACAGTGTTACTCAAAGTTACTATAAGTAACTCGTGGAACAGACCTAATAATTCACATATCTGAAATCCACCAAAGCTAATAAAACTACTGAATACCAACCTTTATAGTTATAATAAACTTTTAAAATTTCCCCGATACAAATGGTGTTTGGAGCATATAATTTTTAACATTCGATTTGTAAACGAAAAGCATATGATTTTCTTAATTTGAGGCAGTATGAACACTTTCGAAATTAACTTAATTCCATTTTTATGAAATTAAAGAAATTTACTTGTTTGAACATAGTATTACTTAAATGCCTTTATTGTGCTGTGTAAACACACTGTAAAAGTAGTATCGAAAAAAATTCTTTTCACCAACATAGTGTGCAAGTGATAAAATAAAATTTTTAAATAAAATGTTATTGTGAATATTTTTGACGTTTCAGTTGTTCGAAAATTTTTTTTATAAACTATCTTTCAGTTTTGCAGCTGAAGTATTTTGCAATTCTACTGGATAAAATATTTGCTTATTTTGAAAAAACATGGCAGCAAAAGTAACTTCAGCGAATAATAAAGTATTTCAAGCTGTATGTATTACAAAATATTTTAAATTGTGATTATATTTTATAGTTAGACTATTAACCTCATTTGTCACCGCCTTCAGCGTTGTATATATAAGCGCATGTTTAATTTTTCTTAAAAGAATTTTTTTTAAATTTTTGAGTTTACCACTTTTTGAAATTTCTATTTTTTTAGGATGACGTTCATATATCTTTTGAAGATCAGCAAAAAATAAATCGATTTGCGAAGCATAATGCGCGTATGGATGATTTGAAAGTTGAATTAGATATGAAGAAAAATGACTTGAAGAGTGTAGAGGAAGCTCTCGACGAAATCGAGCTATTTGATGAAGAGGAAGACATCCCATTTTTGTTCGGTGAAGTATTTCTCACTCATAAACTCTCTAAAACTCAGGTACGCCAGCAATGTAAAGAATATTTATATATAATAATAAGTTGATCTTTAATTAAGGAATTGTTGGCTGAAGTAAAGGAGCAAACTTTAAAAGAAATATCCGGCATAGAAGCAAAAGCAAATGAACTTAAAGCTGAGATGAATGAATTGAAAGCACATTTGTATCAACGTTTTGGTAGTAATATATCATTAGAAAGTGATGATTAAATGATATTTATTATATAATTTTACACATATTAAGTCAATCGAATTAAATTATTAAATAACAAATTTTTTAAACAGTTTGATTTGAGAATATATAAAATAAGTTTTCAATTGCATTTTGCAGACACGCTTCCTAAAAAGAAAAAAAATAATTAATATTTTTATAACTAATATTTTAATATGAGTACCTCTAAGAAAATGTTGTCGAATGGTGCCTTGTAGTGTTCCCATTTAAAAAGTTCATTTATTTGTTTATCTTCTCTAGAATAATCGGTTTTATCTAAATTCTGTAAAAAAACATAATTTAGGATATATTCATATTTTTATAAAACTGAAGATTGTAATTGATCTTAAATCTGCATTTTAGTTATTTAAAAAACAATTGAAAACAAATAAAATAGAAGAAATGCAATAAACCTTAAGTCAGAAGACAATTGTATAACCACAAAAAAAAGTAAAATGTGGAGGTCCATCTTTTTATTAATATTTTGTTTATGAATGCAAAAACAGTAGTGAAGATATGGTTGTGTATATTCTGTATATATGTCTATATATATATATATATTTTGGGTATATTCCATTAATAGGATTTCGAATCATTGACCATTTTTTTAAATTATATTAAACCATATTTTGGGTTTGCAATATTTATTAAGCAGAAGTCTAGCCTTGGCAAGGGCTACTATTCAAGCTAGAATACTATTTCAAGCTGATATGAAAAACCTTTTAAAATTGTCAAATAACATAAATTGGTTAAAATAAAACATAGCTCTTCAATTAAGAATGCACATATTAAAAAAAATATCATGAAAACTAAATAATCAGAAGGGAGACATCTTTAAACAAGAGCCCTAGGATAACGCAACACAGCAGTAGATGTTATATCAGCCTGTCGCAGACTCGCCCAAATAAATTTGATGAGTTTCTATGAATTTCTCTGTTTAATCTTTAACAATAATAAACTATTTAATTTAAAGTTAGCAATGAACTAAAAGTATATTATGTTGATTTTTAATAATTATATATATAGTATTTCCGGGAATAACTCAAACATTACAATAAGACATACCTGACCGTTTTCCAAACAATCGCATTTCAGTAATTCGTGGGTTTGACATGTAGTCATATCTGTTTGGAGCGTAAATAAATTCAAAAGTTCACCATTTGAAAATTTAATAGTTTGATTAGTTTTATCCTCAGATTCGAAAACACAATTTTCTAATGTTTTTTTAGAGATTTGTCTTTGAAAAATTTTCTCTTCAATACAACCAGCTGTAATTAAACGATAAACATGCACATCATTAGACTGTCCATCACGCCATATGCGTCCCATGGCTTGAGCATCTGTTGCTGGATTCCAATCATTGTCGAAAAGTATTAAACGAGATGCACCAATTAGATTAAGACCCACTCCTCCAGCTTTAGCACTTAAAAGGAATACAAGTTCGGTAGTATTTGAATTAGAGTTAAACTCTTTAACATTTTGATTACGTTCGGTTATGGTCGTTGAACCATCTAATCGTAAACATTTGATATTTAAATAATCACAAAGTCCTTCAATCATATTTAATGTTTTAGTATGGTTCGATACTATCACAGTTTTCTCTTGTTTGTCTAAGGCTGCTGCAGTTAAGAAGTGCTGCAAAAGTTCAAGTTTACCTGAATGGAATGGACCCATTTCTGACCAGTCAGGTAAATATTTTTCCAAATATCGTGTAAGTATATTATTAGACTTACAAGTAGATATTAAAGATGGATGATTACAAATCTTTTTAAGCACTGTTATTATTTGCAACGGACTCAATTCCTATAAAAAAATATACACAAATATTTTAATATTTTCATGATTACAATAGTAAAAAGTTTTCAATATATGTATGTGTATCTGCTATTAGGTCTGGTAATAATTAAAATATAATATATAAACCTCACTTGACGACAAGAAAGAAACATATACCTGAAAGATAATCTAGTAATATACTAAACTATACTTGAAGACCTATCGAATCCATCACATGTCAGATTGATAAAAGGGACCTATAACTTAAGTCGTTACCCGAATTATTTGATGAGTTCAAATAATATACTTGCTATGTTCAAAAAACAACTTAAATATTATAACAGCGCATTGTAGGTTTAACTAACAGCTAAGTAAATTGAGAATTGCCTCTAATGAGTTCGGTAGATTTTGCAAAAAGAATAAGATGATTGCGTAGTATGTACTGAGAAGGTGTCTTACACTTATGCATGAACGAAAGAAACAATAAATACACGTTAAAGTGTGATAAATACTACTAGTCATTAAGAAGATGTTACTGCAAGAGTCTGTTATCTTCCGCCTCCAAATTAGAAAAACAATACTTTGTCAATCATAGGAAAAAACTTCAAAGACCTTATTAATTAGTTATAAAAACAATCTTGATATAATTAATAGGTATATTATGTATAACTTTTTTAATTCGGGGTTTATCCAACCAACATCAGAGCTTAAACGTTAGACGAAAGAAATTATGCAGGGAACCTAGAAAGAAAGATTCTTCACCATGCGCCAGAGGAGATTGAAATCTACACATGTGTCAGTAGAGATTGACATAAGTCGTATATATTACTAATAAAGTAAAGGTGAATGCAGTCTAAGATTTAATCTAGTTGTAGTAAACATTTTCAAACGAAATAAATATATTGTAATTAATTCAAGATAAAAAGAAATTTATATATAAATACAACCTTAACATACCTTACGCCCTAAGCTCTCACCAAAACATATATATTTATTCTTTATTTAAATATAATTTACCCAGGAACTAATAATATATTAAACCTACCTGTGCTATTGTTTCTTGTCGAGTTTTATACACGTCCAAAGCCTTTTCTAGTAGTAGAGTTTGTAACTCGGAAGGACGTACGAAGCAAATATATTCTCGTTTCTTAGGCAAATATTTTTTATTCTCCTTTTGTAAGCGCCGCAAAAGAAAATTCTTTGATATGCGATTAAGTTCCAATGATCGTTTTGTTGCTAAATCTTTTATCTCTTCTGTGGCTTCAGGACTCTGGCTCTGTTGCAATGGAATTTCAAAATGTTGCCGAAAATGTTTGTATGTTCCAAAAATATTAGGATTAACAAAGTCAGCTAGGCAAAAAAACTCCTGCAAATTATTTTGTACAGGTGTGCCAGTGAGTATAACACGTCTGAGAATTTTAAGATCAGATAGGATTTTATAAATTTTGTTTGTTTGATTTTTTAAACGATGTCCTTCATCACATATTAACAAATCGAATTCGTAATTTGAGAATTCCGCTGATTTCGATAGTACAGTTTCATATGAAGCAATAACGAATGGTATATGTTTTTGTTGCAAGTAAGAATCTAACTTGTGCTTTGCATTCACTACATGCGCATACACACGTTCTACATTTAGCCATTTATTTAATTCGTTGTTCCAATTTGAAGTAAGACTTGACGGTACAACTATAAGTACACGACGTACTATATTTTTACCATTATCTCCGTCCTTTCTTAAAAGGCAGTGCGCAACAGTTAGTACTTGCAATGTTTTACCAAGTCCCATTTCATCGGCTAAAATGCATCCAAAAAATTTGGGATTCTGATAACCCATTAAGCAATTGTATACAAAACTAACTCCAGATTCTTGATGTGGGCGTAAATGTTTTAATAAATTGGGAGATATAACAATATCGCTTTGTTTTTCGTTTATTTCGCAAACTTCACTGGATACTTCAGGATCCAATGTTTCACTCGTTTTATTCCTACTATCATTGTCCAATTTATTAAGAAAAGGAATCTTTGTCTCATTTGGAGATGTACAGCTTAAGATCTGAACTTTTTGTTCATTTTGCTTATCATTTTTATTAAAAGTATATCTATTAGGGTTTTTGTTTAAATTTGTTTTAGGCATTGTTGGTGCATTTAATATTAAATTAGACTGAAATACAAATGCACCTTTCGGTTTCTTCTCTTTAGGTTCTTCTTGCTTGCTTTCATCCATAAAATGGTTAGCAATTTGCCTTTTACGCAATAGTACATGTTCATTTAAATCCTGTATTTCGTCCTGTAATTCAATTTCCTTTCCGTTGATTATCATTTGATATCCTTCCTGCAATACATCTTCTCTAAAAATCGTTATATTACCCATGTATTTGCCTGTGTCATCTTTTAACGATCCTCGCTTGTTTTCTGAATTAAACTCTAGTGTACCATCTCCTTTCCATGTTTTGTTTTTCTTCATACTAACTTCACGCCAAAGAACATTAAATACTCTCTTATTTTGCATTGTTTCTTGGACTTTATTTATATTCGCCTTTGTTCCCCAATTTTCCATTTGCGTAGCATAGTCTGTAATTGTTTCAAAATCTGAACTTAGAACTCCATTTTTTGATTTTGCTGCTTTTAGCATAGAAGGTGCATTAGAACGTCTCATTATATAAAAAATTGTAATCAAATTTAAATAAAAACACTACCGCCTGATAGAAATCGTATGTTTATCTATATGAATTTATTCTATTGTGAATAGTGAGATATCAGTTGTTAAAGTGTGTGGTAAGGGTATAATTATAATGCTTGCAAATATTTGATTAGAAATCTTGATGTTAAGTTCATTTTAAATTATATAGTTTCAAATTTAATAAGAAGAAAAATTTTAAAAAAAATAAGTATTATTATTAACAATTTAAACGTTATATAACTAACTTAAATCCCGATTAAATAAAGTTTTAAATTTAAAAAATAACACATTTTCTTTTGAGTATTTGTTAATTGAACAAATAAAAATAAACAATTTAAAGAAATATCAGCTTATAATTTTATGTTAAATCCTATTTGATGTTCACAGCTATTATATATTATATATTGTAAATAGAAAAATGTGTTCTCATGCTTCTGAGTTCTTATACTCGGTAATTAAGCACATGAAACAATAACGAATTTGTAAAACGAAAGTTTTACCAAAAATAAATAAAGTGCCATTAAGTAGACTAATAGTATATTCACAATAGGAGTATTCAGGCAAGTGATTAGTTGCTTAGTTGATTCAAAAACTTCATATAAAAAAAGTTAGCATTTTGATGTTAATCAGTTGCTTGAACAACCCAAAATGCGTAATCTGATTAGTTTGTTGTGTGCAAATGCTTTGGCAGCACTCGTATCAACAGCAACTGCGAAACGTATGTTAACAATGAAATACTCAAATATTTGTAAATTTTAATATCATTTAAATTTATCATATAATTTATTTTATCATATCATATAATTTATCATATAACTAAAATTGCAAACGCATCATATATCAAGAAGTAGAATATTCAATTTTAAACTTTTTAATTATATTTTAATCCTTTAAAAATTATAATTTTACTGAATTTTATTTATTATTTTTGATATTATTTTTGCATTTTCTTTTTAAGACACCCTATGTTTATAGCGCCGACACTTGCTTCTGGCAGCACTATTAATCAAATTTTCACTAAACTGAGAATCTCCGAAATAGTTTATTCTCTGCTTAGTTTCATTTTTGTGTGCAAATTTTTGTTGTAATCAACTACTAGGCAACTAATTAGTTGTCTGAATATCCCTAATCTGTTATTTAGGTTGTTGCTAATTTATATTATTGACGGAACGTTCACATTATAATCAGCCCATTTATGCAGCTGATAGATATAGATTTAGATATAGATATAGCTGATAGAATTATAAATGTTTATAAACTTTACTTAATTACATATTACACAAAAAAAAGATTATATATATAATTGATATATTTAATCATTTATATACGTATTATATATCAATTACATATTCAATTAATAAAAATAAAAAAAAAATTTTTATTATTTTATTATTCAATGCCTTTGTTTACAGCTCAGCTGTTATTTGTATACATTTCACATATAAAACATATAAAACATCTTAAATTTTGGTAATTAACCTTGTGGAAAATTTATGTGTAAGAGTTGAATTCGACATTTTTCCTCTTAAATAAGCTATAAGAGATTTTTTTAATGTGATTATGCTATAAATATTCCTTTGTAAAACAGTCATTGTATATAATATTATATATTATGTTTTTATTGTATATGAACTTAAGATTGAATAAAAAGAAAAAATTCTTAATATATTATTTACAAATAATTTAGTATAAGAAATATTTTCAAAAGAATCTTAAATTAAAAAACAATTCTATATAAAAAAAAATATATAAATATTAAATAAATATATAAATATTTACTATTGTTACTTAGAGTAATTATTAATTAAGCACGTTAATTTTAATTATTATGTTTTAGTGCACTTATATACACTTTTGCTATTAATTATTAATTATGTATTCGGTTATTGTGAATAACGTCTTCTATAAATTCGTTTTATTTTTCGCCGTAAATTTTGACATAAACATTGCCAGGTATCACTCGGTCTTTTTGATCAAAGGCGAATTTGCTGGGTTTCACGTATCAAATCACGCTTGATATTTTATTATTAAACAACCTGAATTTCTACAACAAAAATATAAATTACAATTATTGTTTTAACTAATAATGGCGCAGTTCGATTTAACTAGGATAAACTGTCAGTATTTAGACAGACATTTAACATTTCCACTACTTGAATTTTTATGTGGGAAAGAGGTTAGAAAAATTTATGACTTTAAACTGCTTGTAATTAATATATATGTTTTCAGATTTATAATCAAAAAGAACTACTAGAATACATATTAGAAACAGTAAATAAGACGAATATGATTGATTATACTATGGACACACGAAAACGTCTCAATTTAAGTCAAGACATGCCAGAAGAGCTTGTTCAACGAAAAGGAGAAGTGCTTGCAACCTTAAAGCAGTTGCAAAATGAGGTTGCACCTATTATGAAGGCAACCGATATATTGAAAAATGGCGAAAGTATGAAGGACTCAAAAACTTTTGTAAATGCACTACAAAAAGATTATAACTTTAAAGTGGAACATTTGGAGAGTGCTTATAAATTAGCTAAATACTTGTATGAATGTGGTAACTACCAGGAATCTACATCATATTTGTACTTTTGTTTAATCGTTATGTCGCCTAATGATAAGGTATGTAATTCAATTAATTTGTAAGTAAAATTAGATCATTTTAAACTAAAGTATTATCGATAATGACAATTTGAATGAATAACACATAAACATGCTGTTGTAATATTGCAATGATCAAGCGAAACGTTCTCAACTGTTTAGTATAGCTTTTTGGTACATATTTCGTTGAAAATGTGTTTATATTACATGCCAGCAGAATAAATTAAAAGGTGTCAAATTAAAGTTCTCTAATGTGGATACACATCGCCTTAATTGAACAGTTTGGTGACTCATATCCAGCCATTCATGTGACAACTAGGTTTTCATCACAATCCTTAACTAAGTTCAGTACGAACTCCTGACTGCTAAAAGCTAAGTGGTTAAAAAAATTATATATAATCAAAGCAACAATTTATTGGGTAGATTCTGTATTTTCTGATAAATGCCTGTCAATTAGCATAATCGTTATTGATGATCTTCATCACATGACCGCTTAAGGCTGCGGTTACATTATATGCGAATTTTGTCTTGCCTGTTCGTACGAACAATCAAGTGTACGTAATCAAATGCATGTAGTTACAGAACTATTCGTGCGAAGTGTTATCTATTGGAGAAATGCTTGATAATTTTATATGGAATACCATTCAGAATATAATGGAATGTTGCTTATTTCATCCTGGTGGATTTAATAAACTTTTGCTTATTTTCACTTGTTTTCATTTTTATGCCTTGTTGCAAAAAAATCTTGCACCCATATTCTTCTTTTGTTTTTTGAAATTAATAAATAATTTCATAACAAATTTTCCACTAAATACACTGGAACTTCATTACGCATTTTGTTTTCAAAACAGAACTGTCAATACGCAAACAGTGTAACTGCAACATGCGATGTGTTCGCACGAGAAAACATATGTGCGAACACGCAAGACAAAATTCGCATACAATGTAACTGCAGCTTAAGATGGTATTTAAAGGAGATAATTTTAAACTTTTAAAATAAAAAAATATGCATTTATTTTTATAGTAATTTTCTATATAAATTTCAAAGTGTAGTTCCTTTGGGAGGTGCCGAATGGCAGTTAGTTGTCGATAACGACGAGTAGCTCCGGGACGTAGACCCGGTCGACAACAGTTCGTTATGACTAATGAAGATATAAAATAACTATATAACAACTTTTACAATCATTTTGAAATTAACGAAGCTGTTATGATTGCAAAATTAAAAATCTAAATCATAAAATAATTTTTTTTGCAATAAAAAATATATCCGTAAGTTTTTGTTTATTTGTTTTAGAACTATTTGAATGTATTATGGGGTAAATTAGCAGCAGAAATACTGACCCTTAATTGGAATACTGCTCTTGAAGATTTGACACGCTTACGAGACTACATCGATAACGCGAATTTCTCTACAATACAAGCATTACAACAACGGACTTGGCTTATACATTGGTCGGTACTAGTATTCTTCAATCATCCGAAAGGACGTGATCTAATTATTGAAATGTTTCTGTACAAGCCTTTATATTTGAACGCCATTCAAACTATGTGTCCACATATAATGCGTTACTTGGCCACCGCAGTCGTCATAAATCGCACAAGACGTAACGCTTTGAAGGATTTAATAAAAGTCATACAACAGGAATCATATACTTATCGGGATCCAATCACTGAATTTCTTGAATGCCTTTATGTCAATTTCGATTTTGAAGGTGCACGTTTGAAATTACACGAATGCCAAACAGTTATATTTAATGACTTTTTTATTGTGGCTTGTCTAAATGAATTTGTCGAAGATGCTCGCCTTATGATTTTCGAGACATTCTGCCGTATACATCAATGTATCACCATTAGCATGTTGGCTGATAAATTAAATATGAAGCCCAGCGAAGCAGAATGTTGGATTGTAAATTTAATACGTAATGCACGTCTCAACGCTAAAATTGATTCTAAACTAGGACATGTTGTGATGGGTACGCAACCATTAAGTCCTTATCAACAATTGGTTGAAAAAATTGACTCATTATCAATGCGCTCAGAGCATTTAGCTGGACTAATTGAACGTAAAAGTAAGCAAAAGAATCAGGAATCTATTGACTCGTGGAAATATTATTAACTTTATATAAGCTTATAAATTTTGTTTAAAAAAATTTGTATAGAAAAATATTTAAAAACGTAATGATTCTTTTGCGCAATTTTTTATACTATATGAAGATTTATAAAGTTTTCAAAATAATTTTTAGAATAAATAACACCATCATTCTGAAAAGTTGTATTCACTTTTTTTTTTTTTTAATATTTTTAAATATTCTAGACATTTACAATACATATACAAAATTTATTATTTAAAACTATATTCAACTTCATTTGAAGCTTACATAAATAATAACAATAACAAACTTATTTAATTTCGAATAAAAAAAAAATTATAAAAGCTTCTGGTTCAATCAATGCTGCATACTGTGTAAATTGGAATTTCTAAAAATACTTAACATCAATGACTATCGTGCACTGCGCCCATTTTTCATTAACAAATTTTGAAATCGCTGCTCGAGCCATGATGGCCTCATATGGCTTTTGGTCATACAATGAATTGCTAGCTAAACTTTTTTCTGTTCAATTTTTTGGAGGTTTTAACTACGGCCCACTCTCGTGTTGGGAGATTTTGCAGATATGTAATCCATTTACGTGCGATGAAAAGCCAAATTATGCCATAAATACAGCAAAGTATACACTCAATATAGTAGCCATCGAAAAGAATTCTGCATTCACCTCCCGCTTTGGAGCATTCCTTAAAAGAAAAAAACCAATTGAAATAATCTTTAGTGTTATATTTATGGTTGTTATGAGAAAATAGTGTCAATTGTTAAGTGTTTGAGAGATTTAGCATTCAGCTACAACTATTATTTTAGTGTTTAGCTATACACTGAATAGTAAATTTCGTTTGGATGATTTCTTTGTTATGTAAACGAACCTGTTTTTGTTGTTTGGTCAAGCAATGATTCCTCTCCCTGAGTTTAGTATCAACAGTAACACATTCCTTCCAAGTCAAAACATCTACCAACCATAATATAACCGTATTTGGCCAATTACCGCCCAAGTTGGAAAGAGTATTCAAAAAGGTCATATAGGTTCCACCTACTGCAGGATCAGAAATTTTTGCAAAAAATGCCATTACAGCGACAAACATGCAATATAGAAAAATCTGATATACGCCATAATTTGCGACTAGCAGCACATAATAATAGATAGGCACATGCTCCTTCGTAATCATATATGGAGTTAGATATGTGATAACAGCAGCTACTGTTGAAAATATTATTCGATATGGAATTGCTTTCAGGTACACATCCATTGGTCGTGGTCCGTTTGTATAACGACTTACGACAAGAGGAAGTATTATTTGTAATGGAACAATAGGTATAACAAGTAGGGCTAATTTATCTTTAGGGACTCCAGCATCAATTAATTTCAAAGATGTAACCGCATCAGAAGCAGCGAATGTAACTTTTACGGTAAGCAATATAGCGGCTAATATAATAACAGGTCGCATACGCACCATATCCCAAAGTATTTTGTAACTTTCTTGTATATTCAATTCATGTACATCAGTATAACGTGCTTCTGTATGTTCATCTTTAACATCGTTCTCTTTTTTCAATATTGCCACCAAAGTTGTGGCGACAAGAAAACATATACCCCAAAACCATAAAAATTCTGGTAATGTCACCATACCTTCGTCCTTAGGTATTGTACGTAGGTATGTGTTACAAAATTCTTTTGATTCGAGCGCAATAAAAGCTACGTATCCCAAAAAATATCCAGCCGTTTGTCCAACACTATTACAAGTAGAAGCATAACCCACATTACAACGTTTAAGCATCGTTAAGGCCCAACCATCCACTGCTATATCCTGTGTTGCTGCCAAAAAATTTAATATGAAGAAAACTAATGTTAATAGTGGTACATTAGGATCAGCACCATTTCCACCTAGCCAACGTTCAACATGCCATGATAAGAATAACATAAAACCTCCTATTAGATATTGTGTCGGAACCAGCCAAGATTTACGACGTCCAAACTTTTTAATATATAAGGCGTCAACAATTGGAGCCCATAATAGTTTCATACTAAATGGCCAGCAAGCGAATGAAAATTCCGCTTGTTGTTTATAACTTGCACCACGATTCTGCAGCAACATTGGAATAGCAGCAATCAAACCTAAGGGTATTCCTTGCAGAACATATAGAAAGAATAATATACCTATATTGCATTTGTCGCCACGTATATCTGTTGTTTCATGCTCTTCGATGTGAAGAGTTTCAATAAGTGTTTTTTCATAGTTTAGCAATTTCTTTTGATCTTCAGGAGTATCTTTATACCCTTGACGTCGACGTGCAGCCATAATTTAATAGTATTTATTTTTCAAATTTAAATTAACGAGACACGTCACTGCATTATTTTCCTTATGCAAGGCAAGGTTTGTAGTTGTTTATTTCTTTGAGTTTAACTATCAGTTTTTTTTTATGGTGTGTGTTTAGGAATATAATCGATTGTTGTTAGTATTTTCTTTTTGTATGCAAAAAACGAGAATTTTTAATAAATAGACCCCACTTACATCGAGTTTCTGAAGCAGGTAAAACTATTTGAAAGAGTTGATCAAAACAGAAATAATTTTTTGATTTTGGCATGGTTGCCATACTCTTTAAATTAGTATTATGCGGAGTAACAAATACCATTTTGTATATATAATACATGTGAAATAATTCATTTTAAATAATCAGTATTATAATCAGTAATTATCAGTATTATAATAAAAAAAAAACTATGTATATACTCATTTTATTTATTTTCTATTAAGTTTCTATTAATGTGCATAGAATATTTATGTGCAATGTAGATAGGATATTCTGAAATACTTCAAATTGATTACATAGTTGTTTTCGGAATCTAAATAATAATAAACGACTCAATACAATATTAAACACTTAAAAAAATTGCTACATTGCTCTTTAGCAATTTAAAAAAAATATACAATAATCTACATGTACAATAAAGATGGTCTATTAAATTAGTAAGTGTAACTTATCAATAATTTTACGATTGGTTAAACTAAATTTAATGTATAATAAGATTAAAATGTTTTTTTACTAATACTTATTATATATATTGAGTTTTAGTAATAAGTAATAATGGATACTATAAGTATGCATTATAGTAACATAAAATTATTAATTTAAGATGTTACAAAATTCGCAAATAGTTCTATAAAAAAATTAACAATAGCTGTTTGTAGAAACATGTGCAAATTGTAGTTCCTAGTTGCTACTAGGTGTCGCCCCTACTTGTTTGCGTATCAATGTCAAAAATTAGCAATTTTAAAGCCCGAAACCTCTAGAACTTAACTAAATTGAAATGTACTTACGACATATTTTTTCAAATCACTAATTTGTTGTTCGTTAAACTGTAGCTCTTAGAAAATCGTAATTGGAGCATGATTAGATTAGAAAGTAATATTGCCAGAAATAATATATATGTTTATAAATATTATAGAAAATAATATTACCAAAAATAATATATGTATGTATATATTTAGTTATATTATTTTTGTTAAATATATCTAGGGATTGCTAAAGATATCAAGAGGTGCACAAAATACGTGCGTATATGTAGAAATACGCAAACTGCATAAATTTAATATGACTTGGGACGAATTTTAATTTGTTCACTTAATAATTAATGTCCAACATGAAAACATACACATTTATTTACAGAAAATATACTAATTCAACCAAAACTTTAAATTAAATAATGATTTTTTTACTTAGTAGTATCAAGTATTATGAGTATATTTATCCATAGAATTTATTAGTTAATGTATTTACCAAAGCATAATTACTAACTACATTAATTGTAGGAAACTATCATAAAATAATTTAAATCTATGTGAAATGTGAATCAAATTTTACGGTAAAAAATTATTAGTTACGGTAAAAATATGATATTCCATAAGTGTTTAAAAGAATAAGTATCGACATTTCATTATTACATAAAATTGTCTAAAATAAAAATAAAATATGTTTTATTTTAAGAAAGTTTTCGAATGCCTATTTTGATATTTTAAACCAAAATATGTTAAATATGTTTTGGGAAATCTTTCATTTAATTCTTGATTATAAATTCTAAAATAAGTCCGACATTTGCAATGTAATATATGAGTTTAGTCCAGAAATCCATGCGTCCTTACTTTATTAAAGCATGAGTACATTAAAAATAAATAAACATATTAAACTGTTTCAATAAACTAATCACAAAGAAACAATATGTTTCACAATATGGAATAAGCCGCAAGTTTATTAAAGTATGCGTTTACTGGCATTAGTATTACATATTTAATCGTTTATTATAATTATTCGTTAAGTATAAAGCGCCGAGATAAATTTATTACATTTTAATTCATAACAATTTAAAATAAAATAATCTCAATTTTCAAAATTTTGTATAAATTATTTCAACAATATTCAATTATAGTTAATTCCAGCAATTACATTAACTGGTTACAGTTTCACATATGGTTAAAGCATATCAAATTTTGTTACTAATTAATATCAAAAAACGAATACAGCCTTGTAAACTGTTTATTTTTATTAGTTTTAATAAGAATTCATTAAATGGCTATTTTCTTGTATTTTTAGTACCAGAAATTATATCGCATTTCTATTTCAATATATATATAAAAAAACGTTTATTTAGTTCGGTGCTCCACAGTTTATTTATTTGCATCCAGCAACCGAGAATATTTTTTTACTCGTTTCAATCATTTTCGAGTTTATTATAACATATACAAACTTTACTTAGCAGGCGATTCTGGATAAATTGGCTCTTCCCATTTGTGGTGCACTTCTGGTGTTAAATTTATAATCTGAACATGCACGGCTTGATGCTTTTCGTATTTAGGAGGTATAGCACACAGACGGTATTTGACTTCATCGCCTGGCAGTGGTACATATTCTCCTTCAACACTGAAATACAAGCAAATGAGAAAGCTGCAGTAAGTTTATATTTATTGTTTTTGTAATTTGATTGAAATCAAGGACAAATCATTTAAGTCATTTGTATGAATGTTTTACTCATGATTCATACAATTTTTGTTTTGCTTTGTTGTTTACTTACTCAGATACATGGCAAAATAAATCGTCTCCACCTTCGCTAGGTGTTATGAAACCATGTCCTTTAGAACGACTAAAAGATTTCACAATTCCTCTTTCGATTGGGTTTTCCAAAGCCCGAGCAGAACTATAAATGTTTTAATTAGTAAATAAAATAGGCTTAGATAAATATATTATTATTAATTTGAGGGACTTACGTAGAAGCAGTGCGTGTGCGTTTTGTTATAATTGGGCTTGGCAGTTGCAATGTGGAATTAGGGCTATGGCTGTTTTGATGGTGAAAAACAGGAGGCTTTCCAACAAAATTTTTCTCAGGTGTTTTTGATTCAGACATTGTCAAGTTTTACTTTGAAAATTAAATTAAAAATAACATTAAATATTGTTTAAGAATATTTTTTTAGTATTAATGTTGCGGTGTGAGTTGGCGGCAATTTATAAGCGACATTTTCAAGGACATCTCTTAATATTATATTTACAATATGTTTTACTATTATTAGTTTGGAATTATATTGATGTTATTTACCTTAACGCAGCGAACAAAGTAGAATTTCACAAATTACTTCGAAAAATTGTCAAAATTTCCAAAAAGCCGACTATAATAAGCAGAAACTCGTTAAGATTACTTTATGTTTTATCGCATCATTTACAGGGTTGTAATTTTACGCACAAGCATTTATTTATTTATTACATAAAACTAAATGGTTTAATAGCGAAATAGAGGTCGAATAATATCAGGGCTATTTGGATGAGCCTGATTACTTGGCAAAGTGGTAAAGTTTTACGTACATTTATTTCAGTGAAATTATATTACCTAGATAAAGAATTACTAAGGCGTCAGGTTTGATAATTTTTTCAGAAATATGTAAAACATCAGCTGATTTTGATTATTTTGAAGTTTGGCACAAAATCTTATCAATTTACCGATTACTGAGTTAAGTTACGTTATATTTTTTCTAATACACTTAAAAAGTTTATATTAAAAAACTACAAAAATGTATTTCTTCCTTTTTTTTTTTTGAATTATAATAATATGATACATCATCAATTTCAACCAAAAGTCATTATTTTGCTTTCATTCTCTTTTACTTTGTCTATTACACAAACTAATTAAATCTTATACAAAGCAAAATATTAGGGTAAATGGAATTACGCTAATGCGGTAAATGGAATGCACAATGTTCTAGTGCTTTATATAATATTACTTTAATTTATTTTATAATGTGTAATTTAATAATATACAAATGACTGGTGTCAGTTTACAGCGTGTAGGAATAATATTAAATTATTAATAAGCTTGATTTAGAAATTGCATTCTTTCAAATTATCTGAAGTAAGAAGTAACAGCTCATTCAAGCTAGTATTGATTAATTACCATTAATAAAAGTATTGCAATTAACTAAAAGGGGTAATTTAACCAAGCATTTTATTTAATTGGATTCAATGAAACATCAAATTTTGTTATTTTTTTGCAAATTGCAAATTTAATATAAATTATTTTAAAAATAAATTTCGTTAAGAAATTAAGGAAGTGAAAATAATTAACAGGGAAGCAGAAATAATTGATTTTAGGTATCTTTCTTAAAATATGTAATAAATTAAAAACCAAAAAAACCAAATTATATGAATCAGATTGCTTGAAATGAAAATTTATTAAAATTCGTCATTGATTGTGTTTACGTTTTAAGTCATACAAAATTGTTGAAATTCTTGCATTTTAATGGCAAGAAATCCAGTAATGCATAAATATGCAACAATGATTGCATGTCATTTATTGCCCTTCGTATTACAATAAATACAATAAATTATAATATATAATGTAACTTAATTTCGAATTGTATATTTTTTACATGAAAGTGATACCACATTTTTAACTTTACACAATCTAATTAGATCTAAATGTAAACATCGTTAGTACATATCTTTTGTTTAGTGTAAAGCCTACAAAAACAGTTATATCAGAGTTAATAATCATACCCTTAGACATATTTATTCGCTAAAGTATTATGTACTGTCTTGTCACAGAAATTATTTAATAAACCTTTATCGCTAATAATTAAGCGATTTACCAGATGTATATCATTTTAAATATAACATGAATTGTTTGTAATAATATATGTCAAGTATACGCTTAACGGGAGTGTACTATACCAATTCACTACAGAACAATGCTACATCTACTTTGTTATGTTACAAACGTCAAAAACACAAGCGTTTCAATTTTATATTATAAGTGCGATTTTATTTTGTTTGAAAAAATATAATAGATAAAGGTCCATATAGACTGGTATGTGATACCTACTACTTCTTAGTTAGTATCAGCCTTTAATAACTAGTGAGGTTTATAATTTTAAAATCACAAAACATATTAAACAGCTTATTAAAATTGACACCGCGTATTAGTAAGGATCTCTTTATATTATAACTATGTTTAGATTACTAAAATAATCAAAAATAAGTGAAAAAAACAATTTAATAACATATATAATGAATGCCGAAGATGATCACAATTATGTGAGTTCACGCAATAATAATAGTAACAGTGATTATAACCCAAATTCTGATGATTTGGAAATTAATCCTCAACGTCCACAAAACACTGATCATGATTACTTAGCAACGAGCCCGAACAACATAAATTATGCAGAAAGTGGTGATAACATAGATGAAGCAGTGAGACCTGCAAATGAAGTACAATCAAATATAAATTTAGATGTAAACGTTCAAGAAAACAACAATGTTCCAAATATAAATGGTAAGTTGTAGACTTTGTTTGTGAGTTGTATCAATAATTTCTTGATTTAATATTTTAGAACCAACTTCAAGTAGCAGCTTATCTACACCAACAGGTCATGTAAAAAAAAGAAAACGACTGTCATTAGCTTCACCAAATGCAAATACACCCAAAGTTAAAGCAAATACGAGTGATATAGATTTAGATGAAGAAGATGGAATCACTTGCCCTATATGTTTGGAACATTGGGAAATGTCGGGAGAGCACCGACTGGTCTCTCTTAAATGTGGGCACTTATTTGGAAATTCATGCATACGGCGTTGGCTAAATGAAAGTTCAAAACAATCTGGTCACAAATTATGTCCGCAATGTAAAACAAAAGCAACATATAAAGATATTCGATGCCTTTATGCCAAACGTTTGCGTGCCATTGATCGCTCAGAAGAATACTCCTTACGAGAAAAAGTAAAGCAAGAGGAGTGTCTTATTCTTAACTTAAAAACAGAGTTATCAACATATAAACTATCTGTTTCTTTAGCAACAAAAAAAATTGAGTCTTTAGAGGCTGATAACAATCGTTTAAAAGAAATACTTCGTAAGGGTGGAGTAATAAATTCTTCATCGACCTATAGTTCCAACAATGTGCGTTGCTTACCTACCTACAAATTATTTCTAGATCGTAATATTGAGATTTGTAAAGAGTCTGGTTGCCGTGTTATGATTAATGCTGACAAAAATTCTTCACTTATCGTTTCTCAAAAAAGTTCACAAAGTCTGTTTCCAGGTTATGGTGTGCGATTTATAGATACTCAAACATTTCGAACAAGTAATTTTTTACATACATCTGCAAAATTGGTGCGGGATATTTCGTTAAATTTTAGTCAGCATGTTCTTGCAACCGCTAGTATGGAAATAAAAACTAAAATATATGATATACGTACACGTCATTTAACAATGATGTTATCGGCATCCGATAATTCACTATCATGGGCTTGTGCAATGGACTATAGTGAACGTGAGCATTTTATTTATATTGGTGGTAATTTGGGATCTACATTTATATATGACATGCGTTTTCCTTCGGCAGTATTGGATGAAATTAAAAATGAAGGTAGTATATAAAAATTGCTTCCGTGTAAATGACCCTAATTTTTTATTACTATCAAATGTAGGCGATTGTAGTCCAGTGATAAATGTGTGTCCAATTCCTGCCAATAAATATTTTCCTAACGCTGGCTTTGTGGTGTGCAAGTTACGGTCAGTGTGGTTTCATGAATATGAGTCCAGTGATGGCACTGTAAAATCTACCCGTTTTGATATCGAAGGTCCATTTATATCAATGAAATACGATGATAGAAATGATACGTTGCTTATATCAGCAAGGAACAATGCACGTTATACATGTGCGCGTTACATATTAGGAAGATTAGAAAAAATAGATGAAACACCTGTCTTTAACACAATTGTTAGTTTTTATGGTTCTAAAGCATCACCAGTGATGACACGCAGTACTCAAATTGGCCTAACTGAGAACACGCTTGTTGCGGGCTATTTACAGGATGTAAAGATGTTAGCGCTTTTTGATGAAAAGCGTTCTCAAAGAATACATTCTATGCCTGTTTCTGAAATAGTGTATGACATTTGCGCAATTTACGGTTCTGACCCATATCTAGCAGCGCTAACCGAGACAAAGTGTCGTATATATAAGTTAACTTCTACGTCATAGTTGACATCGATTGATTGTCGATATTACTAAATCAAATAAAAATGTTTCGTTATTTAATATTTATTACATTAAAAAAAATTGTTTACTTTAAATATATATTTATGTATTGGTGTGTATATGTAACGTACTTTTTATAATAAGTAAATTAAATTGAATGTTTTACCTCAGTGTTTTTATAAATAGTTTAAAAATGTGCGTTATGTGAATTTATAGTTAAGCAAGAAATTAAAAAAATATTTTCGCACAAGCCTGGTGCCATAAGAAAACTATTTAAATAAATTGTAATAGATATTAATATAAATACTTAAAAGATAAGTCATATATGTTTTCAAAAATGTTTTTTATTTTAAAATTATCTAAATTTAAGAAACTAATACATATGTTGACATGAAATATGTATTATAGTGGTATCCATTAGTTTATAGATGATTCGGTATTTTTTTTTTTTTGGAACATATTTGTCGTCATGTATTGTGCATTCTATAAATCCTGATATTATTTTTAAGCAATTTCAATATCTGAACATGTACTAAAAATCTATTATTTAAAATTCTATTTAAATTTAAATGGGGAGTAATAAAAGGAAAAATGTTTTTTGTTTTATTTTAAAGAAAGAAATCAATTAAGCAAATCTATAATAGCTATGACCGAGTTATTACTATTTTCGATAACTCTAGAACAATAACTGTATTCTAACTATAATAATAATGTATCTATGTTCATATAGGTCACATTTATTTGATTTATGAATAGCATAATTATGTTTATATTAAAATCTTAAGCTTAGTTGTAAGAATTATTTATCTTTTTATTTTATTATTATTAATTATTATTTTTTACAGATAGATTTATTATTAATTATGTTTATTGGTATGTCTTATAAAATTATACTACATCATTTATTAATTTAACTGAATATATTACTTAGAAACAAATGCATATTAAAAATGTGAAGAATAATGCTTAAAAGTTTTTTTATAGACATTAGAGGAGAACAAAGCAAAGGCGGCTATAGTTGCAGCCAATTTATGCTGGTATTATAAAGATCAAAATATCTAAACATTTCTGGAGTTCTATTATAAACTTGCGGACTGGTATTAATTTAGAGAACAAGCAAAGTTTCGTCGCTTTAACCCTCTTTGTCTTAAGAATTTATTAACTAAATTTAAATGTTTTACTTTCGCAAAGGATAACGAATTTTAATCTATAAAAGTATTATATATCCATATATATTGTATATATAGTAACTGTAAGTGCATACAATTGCATAAGACTTCAGTTTAAAGAAATCCAAAATATGTGCAACATTTCCTTAATATTTTTTGGAAGAAACGACGACTTCATCATATAGGAAAGATTTTGTTGTGTCTCAAGTATATCAGATTAAACAAGCCAGCTTAATCCATATTCTTAAGCCATATTCTGTAAGCACAAATTACATGATTAAGTCTATCTGTTTACTACCATTTCATCGCAATCATTTTTCTGTCAACATAGCTGTATCTAAATTTTATTAAATGATGATTTGAATTAAATTCAAATAATGTTGCAATTAAACTACATATTTACTTTTCAAAAAAGAAGTTTTACTATTATACTAATACTACCGTACAGTTATTGCTGTTGTTTTTGTGTAACATCTAAACGTTTTTGAATTGATCATGCGTCATTCATTGTAGGAGGTCTAGACGCTTCGTAGGGTTAAGCTATTATATCTCGAAGACAGTGGTTATTATTTATTTGTTTATATAGTTTAATTTAAAAATTTTCGTCTTTCCAAATATAAAACAAACATAACTACCATATCTCGTTAAATTAACTTATAAAAAAAATAATTATATTAAAAAATTGAAGAAGGGAAGAGATTTAAATATGTTCATGGTTTTTTTAAACATAGATTCATTCGAATCTTAGATAAAATATATCCAAAAAAAAATGTTAGAATGATGAAACATTAGTCTCATAGCACTTTTGAGTTCAACACCACCTCTTATAATACTAACTGATATAATAATTGAAAGTATCAAAACTTTAATTTACCTTAGGCTGCTCATAATCGAAATTAACTCTCTTGAAACGGCCAAAGGAAAGGAATTCAATAAGGTAATTATTTTTTTAGGCTCTAAGAAGAACCCTATCCTTAAAAATTAGTTTTCAAAAAACCAAGCTGAAAATATATAAAGCTGTGTTGATATCGGTAAACACATATGGGGATGAAATGTACTTAATGACAAATTAGGAGCATATTTAGGTCCTTAATTGTGAAAGAAGTAGAAAAAACAGGTTATAGACTTAATGCAGTCTATTTTTAAGACAAAACTAGAAATAAAAATAAAAAATTTTTCAATTTCCCAAATTATACTGTGATAAATTAATAAATAAGGAGTAAATATTTTTTTAACGCTTTTAATGATATTAATCTCAGATATTCTTGATAGAAAAAAAAATTTTCTAAGATTTATCAAACTTCGTAATACCTCAGGACATATTTCAACAGTCTTTAAATAAGTTTCAGTGAAAAAAATTAATAAAACAAACCAATATATCATATATTAAAGAAAACTGAGTTATATATTGAATATATACACATATATATTTATATAAACATTGAAATAATTTTAAATGTATTATAAGAAGTATATAAACAACAGTTCATGTATATTTTTCTTTACTTATAAAGTATTTATGTGTTTCTTAATTTTTTTAAAGTATAAATTAAATATTTTTATTTTTGTATATAATATAAAAAATTCAAATATTTATGTTATAATGGTTTTAAGCTAAAAAATTATTAGCTTTTCTTTAATTTGAATTATAATGTATTTATGAAAATAAAAATAATGTTATTTATCAAAAAAATTTGGATTACATTTTATACAGTCTCAAATGTTAAGGTCATATACTATTAAAATTATTGTTATAATTATAATAAAGACAAATATGTATTGGAATCTTTTATAAATTCATACACAGTTCCATAGTTTGTGGTTCTTTATAAATATATAAATTATTAATGCATTGTTTAGATTAACGAAATATCATATAACTCTTCTTATATGATAGTATTTAGTTTTGTTAAGTTTTTAATAAAAATAATAACTTAATAAATAAGAAAAGTAATAACATTTAATTAAAGTTGAAAAAACCAAATCTGTGCTTCAAATACAATAAGTTTAAATATTTAATAAAGCTATTTAAAAATAAAAACAATATTTTGAAAATGAAACGGATGTCAATTAATATATAAAAAGTTTTTAAATATATATAATAAAATCAATTACATTAAATATTTGTTTAGTAAAATGAACACTAATGATTTTTTTTATCTCTTTAGGCCTTTTCAATACAAGCACCTACAAGTTTATTACTTTGGAAAAAGTACCACTTTTACTTTTCATAGAACCACATATTTACTTTTCATAAATTGAATATTGATACTATATATATGTTTGAGTTTATAATAATCTGTAGTTTAAAGTTTCTGAGATAATTCGATTTGATATTGAAAAATATGTAATTCTGTTAGTCTATGTATATATGTGTAAACATATAGTTTTATAGATCACCTGAGTGGCGGTGTTTAATATTTCCCACTTAATAAAATGATGTAATTAGCAATAGGGGAATTAATAAACTTAAAGCAGACTCTTGCTATTGTTTGAATGATTAGATATTAGGCTGTGTTCTTTAGGTATTGTTTATGAGCAATTACTAAACAGTTAGTTTTACTTTACATACTTAACAATTTTTAGATTGCTGAATTTATGTTATGTGCTCTCTGTTAGCATTTGCTGAATTGATAGCTTTGTAGTAAATTCTTAGGAATTAGTGTAATCTCTAAACCAATGGACTGTATTGAGTTATTAGCAATTGTTGAATTTATAGACTTTTATACTCTTACTTTATTTTGTAATACTAGTCATCGGGATGTATTGCTTCAGGTATTATTTTTAAGTAAATGCTGAGTTTATGGATTTACAAGAAATTCTTTATAATTTGTTTACTATCTAAGTGAATTGCTACACAATTGATCAATTGTTGGATTTATAGTAATAAACTTAAACTAATTTGTGTAATATTAAAGTTATTAGTTTATATAGTGTTAGGTGCTGTATGTTTGCAATTGCTGAATTGATCGACTTCCAGTAGACGCTTAATATTTTGTATTATATCAAGATAATATATCAAAGTTTATTGTAAACTCAAGTAATTCAATTTATATATTATCAAAATTATTGAGGCTTTATTATACCACAAATTCAGTAGAAATCTTTTGTTAATACTGCAACAAAACAGCACAGTAAATTCACGTTAGCCAAACTTAATAATTCTACAATTTGTTTACTTAAAATTCAAAGTAGAAAAATGAAATAGTGTTTAAAGTGTATTTTGCACAATTATTACAAATTCCATAAAAAGCAATTATACAAGTACTTCTAATAAAAATAAGTTTTTGTTAAAAGATTAAGCCGTTGGCCACTACATAATTTATGTGAACCCAATTTTATTTAAATTTATATTATTATATAGGCGCACTTTATAAGTTGACCATAAATTGTATTTTTACTATATGTTTAAGAAGTATGCAATTAAATTATTTTTATAAATTGAATAACATTGTGTTGGGTTGGAATATATTTGTAATACAATAAATCCTTCTCAAGTTCTTGAAAAATATTTAATGCAAATGAAAAAAAAAAATACTTATGCAAATGAAAAAATAAAATATTTAATGCTAATAAAAAAAAAAATTCTTAATGCAATCGAAAAAAACAAAAAATTAAAATTCTGTTAATGTATTTGAAGAAAATTATATAAAAATTTTGTTTTTTTTTATATTATTTATGAGTGACAAATATTTATTTGAATTTTAAAACTAAAAACAATTTGTAAACAAACATTATTCTTTTTATACTTTAAAAGTATTTTAAATTTATTGTTAGTATTTAATTGTGTAATTATGTTAATATAATTGTGTTTAATTTACATTATAAAAATTATATTAAAAAATTGTCGTTACATTACTTAGATTTAAATTAAAAGTAAGCTTTACATTAAATAAGTTCTTATTTATATTAGTTACATAACACTAGAGTTGCTTATATGCTTAACTTAAAAATATATTTTAAATTATTTGGATTCTTTTTTTTTATTTTAAATATGATTTTAAGAAAAGTACTAAAGCAAAGTATAATAAAATATAAAAAACATATTTGAGAATTATTTTACTTTGTTTTTATAACATAATCGCATATATATACATATGTATATATGTATAAATATGTTATTTATATGTTATCGCTAAGAGAATTTTTCAAGTCAATTTATCTGAGAATGTATTTAATCGACTTTTTCGAATTAAATTAATCGACACGCGCATAGCGTGGTACAATATCGTTGCTAATCCAGAAATTACAGTTGGGATGATCTTCTTGGGAAAGAGAATCTTGTCCAACATTTATTACCGGCCTTCGTGGGTCATATTGTGGCACAATTCCATGTGCTATATAATAATAAAAGAGTTGTTGCATTGATGATACAAATCTTCGCTGTTCGACAGTATGTGGCTCGTACCGCCCTAATATTGCTAGTACATCCGAATCTACTTTAGCTAATTTATCTTCTCCTCCACCTTGTACTACCACATAGAATGGAACAGATGTTTGCAAACGTGCATTGACTAAGAGTGGGCAAACAGTACGTATATCAGTAATTAGTGAAACAAGTCCTCGATAATTGGTAGCATTATATCTTTGTATAGCCTCTTCAGTAAGATTTAGAGCACCAATTTTTGATGTTTCAATGAAATTACGCACTTCCTCGGCCGTCCAATCAGCATACCGTTGTCGTAACTTTTCTGTATGCGATTCATGTGCTGTTGTGCCCATAACTAGCTTAGGTTTACCTGTATGTTCTTCTTTCCATGCGTCGGCTGGATGTTTCTGTAAGATGTTGCCATCCAAAACAAGCCATTCATGATGGCCACTTGTATTTTCTTCGTTTGTAGGTATATCGGCTGGAAAGTGTAACCAAGTATCTGGAGTGGCATCCCATATTTGCTCGGTGGAAGCAGCACGCAAGCAAGCTACATCTCGACACTCTAAGGCTTGCATTATTTCCTGATTACGTTTCTCAGACTCATGTAATGGTTTACCGGGGAATATAGCCGATGAAGATGACACCCAAGCACGTTCGTACAAATGATCGATTTTTTTTGAGCTAACTAATGCCGATACAAGCGTAGCGCCAGCTCGATGACCCAACAAAGTTACTGCTTTAGGATCACCACCAAAATGTATGATATTTATTTTAATCCAATTGAGCACAGCTATTATATCTGTAAGTGCATAATTGCCAGATGTACGTGGATATGCATCCTTAGTTAATGCTTCAAGAGCTAAGAAACCAAATGCACCTAAACGGAAGTTAGGTCGTACAAATATGACATCATGAGAGCGAGAGTAGCGTGCAGAAGGGCGTAAAATGCCAGGAGAAGGTCCAGTTAATGTTTCTGCGCCGATTAATACAATGACTGGCAATGGATTATCATAACGTATATGTGGTGTTATTACATCTAAGTATAAGCAATTTTCGTTGCCAATTATAGTACCATTGCCGATCATTTGAGTACATAATTCACTAACATTGTGTGCTTGTAGTGTACCATTCCAACAATCGTCGATACCTTCAATCAATTGTGCCGGACGCCAGCGCTGTTCACCAGTCGGAGGAATAGCATATGGTATTCCACGGAATGCAAAGGCACCGTCTTCTTTAACACCTTCCACCATACCACAACTAGTAACAGCATCAATAAAGCGACCTTCGCGTATCGGTGGTGATGTCAGAGTCTCATGAGAAAGCACATAACCAATGACTGCAACTAATAAAATAAATAGGAAAACACCTAATGCAATGAGTGCATCATCTACTGAGCATTTATAAGAAAGTAAACGGTCAGCAATCGATATAGTTGGTTCAGCTTCTTCAGGAGTTTTCTAAAACAAAAAGAAAAAATTTAATTTAATTTAAAATTGTTAACAATACAAAAGTAGTTTTTATTTCGAATATTTATTTATAATTTAGAATAGTATTTTCAATTTTATATATTTATTAATATAATAAAATTTTATTAGAATATTATAAAAATGAAATGAAATATTACCTCTTCTGAAGCGGCTAGCTTAATTTCAGCACTTGGAGATTTTTTTAATTTATGTATATCATCTGTGCCATTATTTTTTGTTGGTGCTTTGTCAACACAGTCCTGATCTTTTAAAGAGTCATCTAGTGTTTCCATGGAAGCGAGTCCTGCTTTACCCAAGCCCAATTCAACATCTTCATCGGATTTCTTTTTCGGTATCATATTAGCTATAGGTAGTTTAATAGCATTTAAGAGTCCACGCTTTTGTGGTGGTCCTTCTGGTGCAGCATTGGAATTTTCTTGACCACCGGCTGGTGCAGCTTCTGCGGTTGCTTCTAATCATTTGTAAGGAAATAAAGTATTATTTGTTTGATATAATAAAATTATTTATTTTCAAAACTCACCACTTTTAGCATCGGCATCAGCACCATTTGCTGTTTGTTTGGCTTGTTTATCAGCAGTTGGCTTGCGTGCGAAAAAATTGCGGAAACGTTCACCAAAACTTCGAGGCTTTTCATCTTTTTTAGTTTTAGCTTCATTGGGATTCGATTCTTCTTTATTTTCTTTTTCCAATAATTCGCCTTCAGCACCGTCACCATCAGATTTAGGTTTGGATTTCATAAAGTAACCAGGTAATTTTAAGCCACCAATTGGTATCTTTTTCGGTTTGACTTCACGTTCTTCTTTAGAAATTTTTTTTTCATCATTTGTATCTGGTATATCTATAATTTCTTCTCCATTGTTTGGTCTTTTAGCAATTGCATCTTCATTTGTAGAGTTCAGAGATTTTTTATCACCATTGGGTGTGTTGGGTTTGGAGGAAGACTTTTTAGTATCCACATTAGGACTAGGTAATTTATCCTTTATTGGAACCTCAGGCGTAACTGATGCATTTTCTTTTTTTTCGAGCATTTTATCAGTTTCTTTTGGTTCATCAGCAACTTCTTGTGGTGATGTTTCACCTGGTGCATTTTCCTTCTCTTCTAGTTCACCCATATTTAATGATTATTTATGTATAATGCTTTACGATACGATACGAGACTAATGTCTCAAATGCCAGTGAAAGATTATTTTAAAAAATCTGCAAAATAAAATGCAATAATTAAATCATATATTCTATAAAAATATATAATAAATATAATATAATATATGCTACACTTTTTAAAAAAATAGCAGATTTTACTTAAATAAATTATTATTTATAAAATGTATAAAATTTGTTTTTGATGTTAAAATCAATTTATCAGAACTTAATGGCAATTCTTTGTGCTATGTATTCTTTGTGCGAAGAAAATATTCTATTGTTTTGAAGGACAGTAAAGATTTCGGGTCGAATTTCTTTTTCTACATGTCTAATTCTATGGAAATATTGCAGCTGATAATTGCACACTCGTATATATAAAGAAATACAATACAATCGGTACTGTAGATCGTACGTTTCACTAAATACTAAGCCACTTTCTAAACATAATAAACTTAAAATTTGAGTTTGTACTTCAGTAAGAAAATTACCTGAAAAATGGTAAGGGAAAATTCAGGTAGTAGAGATGAAATATGAAATATTTTCCAGTTCACCATGTAATAAGATCAGTAGATTACATATGTGTTACATATGCTACATTTTTTGTTTTTCTTCCCATCAGAACCTCTAAAGGCGAGAAGACTCATTTAAGTAGGTATGTCATTAACCAAACAATATATTTAAGATTTTTTCAGTTTTCTAGATTATTAGTTTTCTCACCAATATTTTTGGTAGATATCAACTAGGATTATTTTAAATATTATTAACTTTTTATACCGATATAATCAGAAGATATTAATCTACATTTGTTGTTATTTGTACTGACAATCATAAATATAGTATAGTACAAATAACCACACACGGAGATTAGTAACTTCTGATTATATCGGAATAAAAAGTAAATAATATTTTCAATAATCTTAGTTGATATCTACCAAAAATATTGGTGAGAAAACTAATAATCTAGAAAACTGAAAAAATCTTAAATATATTCTAGTGATTTAAATCAACCCTTGATTAGTTCCAAAGATAACACAACAGTTGACATAGTTGTTGTGTATGATTGCCTTTTTTAATATTAACAAATTAAGTTCATCAATATCAATATTTATTTACTAAAATTACGGTCATGTTGATTAATTGAATCCAGATTAATTAATTAAAACAAATCATATTAAATATTAAATCGAAACTAGCATGTTTATATGAGACAATATAGTCCACCAGTTTTGAATATCTGAATATGAAATTTTAAATATGAGAGAGAGTTAAGATCGAAACGAGACTATGAGACTATGTATATAGTCCGCCTGTTTTGAATATCTGAATATGAAAATTAGACTTTAAAATGACTTAAAATTAATCGACTGACTGTGAAAATTGAAAATCAAGCAAATTTTGATTATTATACAGAACATATCAAAATAAAATAGAGGTTTCATGGTTTACGTTACAAATGGGTTGTAATATTGCTCCCTTAATAATAATGAATTCAAATGTTCTACAACAGTAATGACAGAATAAATCAGATGTGCCATTTGTAATAAGTCGAAAACTAGGCAATCGATGATATATATATATAGGCTTAGTTTTAGAATATTTTGATGAAGATGGAATCAGTAGCAACCATTGTTGAAAACTGCTTGCATGAGATAAAAATAAATGGTATACTGGATCGTTTCGGAGCGGAACATTGTGGTCAGTACTAATCTTTTTTGCTACGAATGGAACATAAGACACTCTGTTCTTCGGAAAAAGACCAGAAATTCTGCTGTTAAGGATTTTTTTATATCAAATACTGACACGACCCTGTCAAACCTGACATTCTGACTCATGGTAACTAATGCTATTGTGACTAGTCAAACAACTAGCCAACAACTTTACCTTGTTTTGGCTAGTAAATACCTGTAATTTTGCATCAAAAAGTGGTTCTTTCTTACTTCGGTTACAATTCATTTTTCCTTCAGACATTTTGTTGTGTCGTTAAAGAATGTACGGTTACGTAGTAATGTATTATTATTGTTAGGGAACGTGGCACTGCGACCGTCTATCTATGGTACCCACTTTTGGGTTTAGAGTAGGTCCTTTAAGCCCTGTTGCGTTATTAAAAAAATGTAGTGTAGAACCTAATTTAGAGTTTTATTGCATCTACCGTAAGAATAGACATTCCCAGTAGCCTATTCCGTATGTGCATTAGTGGTGGGTATTCTAACAGCACATGTATGGTCGACCTTAAGTAATAACGTAATAGAGGTGTATATTTAATGATGACAAGATAAATTTCAACTTAAACGGCTGAATGGTGAAATTAATTAGGATAAGATTTTTTTTCAACTATGCTTTACTGGTCTTAAGTCGTACTCTCAAAACATAGTTGAATTAAAAGCTCAAAAAATATAATATTATTACTAAATAAAATAATATTATTTTATAATTTTGCTATCATTAAATACGAGTGTATAATAAAAAGATTTTTTAAGAAATCTTATTATTAAAATTATTATTTAGAAAAGATATTTAATTTTCTTTTCATAATGAAAATATGTTATTTAAAAAAAGTATCTTCACAGTTAAGTAGCGCATTCTTGTAAGAATATTTAAAAGGAAAAAAAAAAAAATAAAATAAAATTGGTATTCATAGAAAAGACCTTTTATCTTTCTTCTGTGTTAATTCACTGTTTTACATCGGACATTTGTAGGTTCAACGCAGAGTTCAGACATCGGTGTTAAAATCTAAAGGCTTTATCTCTCGTATATGGCATACTCGTACATTATATTGTATATATATATATATATAAAAGTCTGTTTTTGTGTTTATAGCATTACGAGGGTATCTTTCTGCGTATTGCATTCAATTCGAGTAGAAAAATTGCTTGTATCTGTAATTGCAGTGTGCCTTAAGTAATGGGAAATAGTGTCACTAGTATCGAAATCCAATCGAAGCGGATTGTAAAGTATTAAAGGCAAGGCAACAAAATGTGTAAAATGCGTTGGAAAATAAAATAAAAAAATAAAGTAAAATGAATTAAAATAAAGTCTTTTTCAACATGCTTTTCATTTTATTTTTAATTTATTTTAAAAGAAAGACATTTGTATTAAAATAGGTCACAATAATTTTTTCTACTTATAGAAAATAGTACTTCTATTCATTGAAAATTTCTTGTTGTTATGAAAGAGTTTCTACAAATAATAAAAATAAATAAATTCTGAATTGTAAATTAAATTTAAATTAAAACTATGGAAAGTAGGCGAAGAAAATATATATATGTAGAGTAAATAATGGTGAGTAGCTATTATTTTTAGCTCTTTTAAGTATTCTTTTGAATGTACTTAGAATATAGGAAGTTTAAGATTAGAGGATTTGAATTGAATTTGCAGAAGTAGTCGAAAGTGAGAAGAGGTGCTATTAAACCAGAAAGACGCGTAGCATGTAAGTTTGTTACGTCTCACAATTTGTTTGCTTTGATAGACTCATACAGTAGAATGTTCTTAATAAATTTTGTATCACATTTTAGATTTGTGACAGACATGCTCATAAGTATTATTAGGTCTTAAAAATATCGTAAAATAAATAGATCAAGTATTTTACACCAGCTACAGAAATAATATTAAACGATAGATATATCATTTTATGATTGAGTCATCATTTTCCGACGTTGTCTTTGGCGGGGATATGATATGGAAACCTTGGAAACCTATTAAAGTATATAAAAATATATGTGATATATATTATTTATATACCATATAAATCATAAAGTTGATAAATACATGAAATTTCCAAATGCAAGTGATTGAAAGAAATGTATGAGAGAGAATTTAAAGGGAATTGTACTTTACTACACAAGTGACGCTGAAGAATATAAATATTAAAATAAATATTGTAACAAATACTTGAAGATTAATAATAAAAGCTAACCGAATGCCGCAAAATATTTATAAAGTATTCATTAATAAATTTGTTCTTAGATTCAAACAGTACGTTTAGATGATAGGGTTATATTAAAATCAATTGTGTATAACTCTTTTGTCTGGCGTATCTCCGGTGATTAGCCTTCACCGCGACCGGCTATTGTCATTATACAATACACTGAGGACATGAAAATGGTTTAGAGCCAATACAGTAACGAAGCTCCAGTTAGTAAATAACTGGAGGTTCGGACACATAAATAATGAAACTTAAAAAATCGAAAACCTGAAATAAAAAAATTCCATAAGATTAATATTAGAATCTAAAAGTGAAACATTACAAGAGTTTTGGACAATTGGAATATTTATGCCAATGTAATTAAAGAATTATCTTGCTTAACATATAAAATAAAGAAATCCAATATATTCTCGAGCTACAACAATTGGCGACCACATAATTAATTGGAATGTTAGGCCAGCAATTGCATTAACAAGAGTGTAATCCATGTTACACTAACAAGTGTAAAGAAACTAGTTTCAAAGAGACGAACGAATAATCTTGGGAAAAATATTTGGTCCCAAAAATATATAGTGATAGGATCTTTTACTAATGTGTCAACAATGTCTCTCATGCCACAGATATTAATTGAAATTATTTGAATTATAATGATTAAGTTAAGAAAATTAAAGTACTAGAACATGCGACGTATAAGTCATCCTGAGAATCTTGCAAAAAATATTTGATCGCAAAAATATATAGAGATAGGATATTTTACTCAGTCTTTATTACGCCAGAAGTGTTGAGAGATTTGTTAAATCACAATGATTAAATAGGCTGAGTAAGTAATAACAATTGAAGAAAATCGCCGTTTAAAGGTCCCTACAAAGTTCTAAACATGCGAAGACATTCAAAAATTTGATGGATTGTTGGTGTTCAAACTTATTTCTAAAGAATTTAAGTTTAACAGTCTGAGAAGACTATGCAGCAACACAATGTGAAAGAATACTAAGTCGGCAAATTAAAAAATAATCTTTATGTGCAATGATGTAGGATGATAGCAATGAATAATATAAGTCTTCAAAATACTGAAAACACTATATAAGGGTCGTCAAAGAAAAAGATGAATTTGTTGAAGTTAAAGGTGGTAGCCTGA